GCGTGGATGTCCAGTGCCTGTGCTCCAAGGAGGGGGTCTGGCGGAGTTGCAGAGGTGGGTGCAGTGTGCAGCAGCATGGCAGGGTGAGGAGGAGGGTAGGGGGGCAGTGGAGAGGGGTGTCGCAGCGAGGGGGTGGTGTGGGGGGGCAGGTGGGCAGGCGAAGGGTATCCTGGCTGGGGCAGGACTCCCCTGGGGTAGTCTGTGGGCAGACCCGTCACTCCCTGGAGAGCTGGAGAGAGAGGGAGAGGGGTGATTAATGAGCACTGCAGATGAATGGCTGCTCTTCCTCTCTCCACTAATCTACCCCCCTCTTCCTCAACCTCCCCCGCTTTCTCCTTCCCTGTGCCTCCCACTCCTCTCCTCTCTCCTCTCTCTTTCCTCGAACTCCCTGCAGCCCTCTCCCTCCTCCTCTCACCCGCTGTCCTGATGCCCAGGTGTGTGGTGCCCTCCAGGCCGTAGCCCGCCACGCCCGCACCCTCGGGGCTGTAGGGAGCGCCCTGACCTGCAGGGGGAGACAGACGCCGCGTCAACCGAGGGGGTCACACAGTCGTCACGCAGAGCGCTGCGATTCAGGAGGAGGACAAGGGTGGGCTGCCACTGTCCTTTGACTCGACAGCGAATGAAACTGAGGGGTCGAGAGACAGACACACACACACACACACACACACACACACACACACACACACGACGGGATGGCACACACCTGAGCGGTTGGACTGGTCTATCATGGGCTGCACTATCCTGCGCCTGGCGTTGATGAACCTGGGGGAGAGGAAGGAAGACCTGGATCGAGAATCCGCATGGGAGCCAGTGATGGAGAAGGAGGGCCTGGGCGTGTCTCAGGTACTGAATAGACTGGCCGGGCGGAGGCACAAGCAGGAGAGCGAGAGAGGGGCAGCGAGTCTGGGAAGGCTGATCTATTGATCACTGATCAGACTGACTAGGGGCTGGGCTGTAGGGTGGTGAAAGAGCTGTTGCTGCAAGGCTGTGAAGCTGGATGGGGAGAGAGATCATGGAATGGCCTTTCTTACTGACCGCTGCTGAATAGAGTTTGGACTGACCAGTTGTTGACCTGCAGGATGGTGAGGCCGGTGTCCTGGGCCAGCTGCTTCTTCTGCTCCTCCGAGGGGTACGGGTGCTGAGAGAGGACAAACGGAGCCGGGTCACACAGCGGAA